AATACAACCATTAAAAATTAACTCCCATCGTCGGGTATCGAACTCCCGATCACCTATTGTCCGCACCTTATCAAAAAAATGGGGCGCCTCAGTCAACTAGGCTATCACAGATCAGCGACAGTTGAAGAAAAAATAGCATTTAAAAGACTCGGACGATGGGCGGGACTTATCACAAGAGTTGTCCTTGAGCGATTCGGCGATTCGCGTCTTCGTAGCTTCTGGAGAAATGAGCTAAGCGCCTTTCTCTGTGAGACATTGTTTGCCCATGCTATCATGTGTCTCAAGGTTCATATCAGCAGGCATTTGCCATCGCGGCAGTAAGCTGAGGCAATATTTGCGTATCCATGAATTAAATCAATCAATCGAGCTCTGATTTTGACTTCTTTATCCGTAACGAGTCCTCCAGAACAATTTTCCACCTTGTACGATGGTTATTATTTCTTTACTTCTATTTTTCAAATTTGAGGTGGGATAATGGCGGCTTCTCAAGAACACCGAGGTAGGCGATCTTTTGCACCAACGAACAGAAAACTGATGGCGAAAAATAACCAATCAGAACCTCCCAAAAAAAAGAATTTGCCTAAAAACGGAACTTCGTGGTTCTGCGCAGATTTACCAGTCAGACACGACATCTCAAGGTGGAAAAAAACTCTCTAAAAGCGAATTTTAGCAATCAACACAACTTGACGTAGAGACATGATTGGCTAAAAAATACAACGGTTTTTGATACATCGGAAAATCAACCAAAAATCGGAGACTGGGCGAGACGCTCAAGGTCGCAGAGGTATAGGGAATCCCATAGCGAAAGCAACGGAACGATTGTAATATCATGGGGAACTCCGTTCCCATGACAAAAACAGTGAATTTATAAATGATTGCATATCTCTGTTGACAGAGGTTTTAAAATAGTTGCGTGACTGAGTTCAGGATTCTTCATTGGCAAGGGGTTTGTGACACCGCGAACACTAGTTATGGATCTAAAAGAAATCTGATATAGGTAGGAGTCAAGCAAAACAGAAATTAAGGTCGGAGAGGTCAGACAATTCAGTGTAGCAAAAACTTCTGATTTGCGTAGAAAATATCAATTTTTAGTTTTTGATGCAACACGTTCTCTGCTGTTCTTTAGAACATTTGGTCATAATTCTAGTTGTTATTTTCACTATCGCTGATATTATGCGTTGGAAATGAATCGTTTCCTCTGCTGGCACCAGCCTTTTGTTTTTTCTCAATCTCATAATGGAGGCGCTTAGAGGACAAGGCGCATAAGTATAGTTCTCTAATGATTTCAAGTACAACTAGTCTGAATGCACATTATGTTAAAAATCGCTACAAATTCCAATTTTTAAGCACTCAACAATAAGTTTGAAATTTCTTTCCTACAAAAGAATTCATGTAATTTTGAAAATTTAAATACACGCATTTCTTGGAATAGCAAAAACTGCACTTATGCGACTTGTCCTCCAAGTCCCTCAATCCAAAATTTCAAGGTTAATTCTATAAAACTTGTTGGATGATTCCTGCATCGAATCATACAGAATAAACCCCGCCAAGCTGCGGTAAGGTACAAACAATTTTTTTACCTTAAGTCCTATTTTACTTGACTCCATCATAGATTGTACTTCTTCGATTTGTTTTTACTCGATAGGTTACACCCGAGAGGCCGCGGAATTCACGAAGGCAATGTCAAAGATGGCCGAATCTAGTGATTTTTACTTCATCGATACACACTTATACTTCAAGGCTCGAAATGAGAATCTATCAGTACCTAAAATAGGAGAACATATTTCACCGGTAAATTTAGATTTCTATGTCCTCCTATTTTTACCAGCCGTTTAATCAAGGTATTTTCTCTCCTTCTGTGAATTATTATAATCGTATAAAAATCAAACATAATAATCGTAAAAAAACACATGCTATAAAATTAGAGTAGGCAAGTTCTCATTTGGTTTTTCAACAGAGGGATACTCCTCCTGACTGTTTTGCGGTCCAACCTCCGTACTGCCATGCTAAGGAAAAACGCCGTATGAGCCTTTGGACGTTGCCACATTTTCTATGATAAAATATGAATTTCTAGGGAAATCTGTGAATATTTTCCCCCGATTTCGCAGAGGATATTATTCAAGATCACCTTTAAATTATCTGAAAATTTCATGAGAAAGTAGTCATAACTCTCCTTAAAATGTAACATTTTACTAGAAGAAATTTGGTAACTCTCAAATGTTCATACGGCGTTTATCCTTAGCACGGCAGCGTAGTGATTTCCACCTCATGCGCGTCACGCGTTATACTCTTAATGCTGCCGTGCTAAGGAAGGACGCGGTATGAACATTCGAGAGTTGCCAAATTTTCTCCGATAAAATGTTTATTTTTAAGGAAAGTTATGAATATTTTCCTTGAAATTTTCAGGAAATTTAGGTGAAATTGCAAACAAAATTATCTGAAGAATCGGAAGAAAAATATTCAAAAGTTTACAAAAAAATCAGTTTTTTATAAAAGGAAATTTGGCAATGCCTGAGGGTTCATACGGCGTTTTTACTTAGTACGGCAGTATGATTTTATATAATTTTATTATTTTTCATTATTTCACAGGGTGAGACATCTCTGCTACGATCGCTTGAGGTACCTCCACGCACATTCTACCTCGAGAAAATTTGTGCCAGAGAATACACTCTCAACCCAAACTACGTAGCAAAGCTGAAATGTCGTTATTCTACTCGTGGGTCACCTCTCTTTGTTTTGAATCCTTTGAAGGAGGAGGAACTGTTTTTAGAGCCAAAAGTGTCCATTTACCGCCAGTTTCTCACCGACTCGGAAGTGAATCTGATTATAGATAAAGCACATGGACGGGTAAGAAACGTATAGATTCTTCAAACAGTAGGCTCCTTCGAGGGCGGTCGCTGGAATCAAAATCCTTTCTACTCTTCAAATATATTTTGTGTGACTTGTAAGTTACTTACGTAGGTTGTGCCTATTTCCTCTATCAATGTTGCGACACAGAAATACAGCACAGATAGTTGTTAACTTTCTCGTTAAGGAATAAAGAAGGAGAGCATTAAAACATAGGTAAACAAGGCTGAAACAGTACATGGTTGTTATGTGATGACGGCTGGGGTCAGGTCGCCACTGAATTTTTAATTTGTTTTTTGTGTGTATTTTTGCAGCTGAATTTTAGCTGGTAACAGCTCGAAACGTCCTGTTTTCAGTGTTTTTAATGTTGTAGCTTTGTTTACCCATGTTTTAAGTCTCCCCTTCTTCATTCGTATACTAGGGGGCTATGCCCTCTGGCCGCTACGCGGTCCAGCCCCCAGAGGAGCCCCGCCCTCTCTTAGGCCTGCTTCGACGAAAGAACGGCCAAAAAAACTGAAGAGATTTTCATACCCGACTCTCATTTATCCAATTTTTCTTTGGCCTGGAAAAATTGGACCAATAAGAATCAAATAAGAAAACCGCCATTTATTTCCAACCCCAGGCCAAGACTGAAACGAAACGGAACGAATGGAACAGACCGTTTCGTTACTTTTGGATAGTCTGTAGTAAAGGAGCATACCCTCGATTCACTTACCTTACCCTGCCTGTCAAAAGTCACAAAAATCAAGAAAATCGGCCTGGTAGAACGCTGGAACTGAGCGTTACCGGATTTGCAAATTTAGGAGGTCTTGGAGCTTATACAGGGTGATCCAAAAGTCCCTTCCACCCCCTCTAACTTTTTACCTTATGGAGGTAAAGATTTGAAACTTGGGGAATGTCCCTAGGTTAAAGGGAGCTACTTTTTGGCCCCCCTAAAATTTTCAGGGGGCCCCCCCTGGGGGGGGGGCAACGGACTCCAACTATTAATTTTTAAATGGGAAGACCCCCTTTGTGATAGCTCGTTCGAAAGAGCATAAAAAAAGAAAACTTTTCGCGCAAACCCGAAGTCGATATCTCAAACCGTTACAAAATAACGGCCGGTTAAAATTAAAAATGACCGAAAATTCACACAGGTCAGTTGTCGAGGGATTTTCGCGAAAATCCGTTAGTAGAGGTATTTCGACACAAGAAAAACGAATTTGATGTTAGATTTTCAAAAAACCGAAATTTCCAAAATGGCCGCTGGTTAAAGTTCAAAATGGCCGAAAACTACCACCTCGGTTTTTTGATGATGGATTTGCCCAAAACTTGGAATTTTAGGATATTGATTAACACATTTGAACTTAGATTTCTAAAAAAAAAAAAACAGGTATCTATTTATTAAGCCACGGATCATTTAGTCACGTGGCGAACTGCAACAAAAAATGTTGCAAATTGCCACAAACTCAGGGTGCTGTGTGGCTAAAGGAAACAAGAAACATTTGTGTGGCTAGATGCAACAAAAATTGTTGCGGTTAGCCGCAGTCTTTGGAATGGCCTACCAAATTCAGCAAAAACATTGTTATTCATCCTCCCATTCTTATTTTACTGCAAGGTAAGTGATTTTATTGAAGATCTGGAATAGATTAAAAAGTATAAACAACCATTCGTATGTATTGAAAACAGTTTTTTTTTTTTTTTTTTTAATAATTTTACCATCCTCCACTAGTGACCAATGCAATACTGTATGTACTTTACGCTGAAATACATGAATATCTACTAATAGGAAACTATCCGAAGGAATTATTGACCACATGGGTATCTGTTTATTTAGCTACGGCTCATTTAGCCACGTGGCGAACTGCAACAAAAATTGTTGCAAATTGCCACAAACTCTGGGTGCTGTCTGGCTAAATGAAACAAGAGAAATTAGTGTGGCTAAATGCAACAAAAATTGTTGCAGTTAGCCACAGTCTTTGGAATGGCCTACCGAATTCAGCAAAAAAAATTGTTATTTATCCTCCCATTCTTATTTTACTGCAGTGTAAGCGATTTTATTGAAGATCTGAAATAGATTAAAAAGAAAAAACAACCATTCGTATGTATTGAAAACAATTTGTTTCTAAAATAATTTTACCATCCTCTACTAGTGACCAATTCAATACTGATTCTACTTTACGCTGAAATACATGAAAATCTACTATTAGGAAAATATCCGAAAGAATTATTGCATCCAGCTCTCCTTCCTTAGATTAGGTCATTAGGTAAGGTTAGGTTAGGTTATGTTAGGTTAGGTTAGGTTAGGTTAGGTTAGGTTAGGATAGGTTAGGTTAGGTTAGGTTAGAATAGGTTAGGTTTGGTTAGGTTAGGTCAAGTTCGTTTCGATTAGATCCGGTAACGCTGCAATGCAGATACCTGGTTTTATCCTTTGGCCATGTGGCTAACTGCAACATAATTTGTTGCACTTTGCCACGTTTGCCACACTAATTTTTCTTGTTTCGTTTGCGACGTAGCACCTAAAATCTGTGGCAAGATGCAACCTTTTTTGTTGCATTTTGCCACGTGGCTAAATGAGCTGTGGCTAAATGAAACGTAATAAAAAAAAACAAATTTTCGGCCATTTCAAATTTTCACCGGCGGCTATTTTGGAAATCTCGGTTTTTTTGAAAATCTAACATCAAATTCGTTTTCCTTGCGTCGAAATACCTCTACTAACAGATTTTCGCAAAAATCCCTCGACAACTAACCTGTGTGAATTTTCGGCCATTTTGAACTTTAACCGACCGCCATTTTGTAACGGTTTGAGATATAGACTTCGGGTTTGCGCGAAAAGTTTTCTTTTTTTATGTTCTTCCGAACGAGCTATCACAAAGGGGGTCTTCCTATTTCAAAATTAAAAGTTGGGGTCCGTTGCTCTCTCCCAAGAGGGACCCCCCTGAAAACTTTAGGGGGGCCAAAAAGTAGCTCCCTTTAACCTAGGGACATCCCCTAGGGACGGTGTAAGTTGGCAATCACATAACTCGTTTGCGGTGTCTGAAAATCTCCGCCGCCATGTTATTTTTTTAAAGGAGAATACATTGACATCATTCCTTGAAGTTAATGCAGAATTGTTTTCGCATGGAAAAGAAAAATCACGGTAGTTTTAGAGAATTGCCATTGAGTAGTTTTCCGTTTAAAATATAAAGTATGACAGTAAGTTTGCGACGTCGCAAACCAAGTTATGTGATTGCCGACTTACACCGTCGATATACATAATAAAATCGTATGTAGTTTAACTTGTTTAAGAACCAATCTGGTTACTGATACGCTTTCGCTATCTCTTGAAACTCGAAGATCCTTCAATTCCTCGGCCACACTGAAAAAAAGTAGTATGCTGTTTTAGCACCTAGGATGTCAAAAATGTGTCTGGTGATCCCAAAATGCTGCCTTTACTGCCCTCGCAGTTAACTTCACATCCTACGAATGCAAATTCAACTGCGTGGGCAATCAAGGTAGCATCTTAGGATGACCAGACACATTTTTGACATCCTAGGTGCCAAAACAGCATACCATTTTTTTCGGTGCAGACTTCCCCACTACCTACACGTTGACTAAATCGTATGTATTTACACAGCACGGCGTTTTAACCGCTCTTAAATATACGATATTTTGCACCGTTCATCCAGATGCATTATTCGGGCGTCCGTGTAAATCCATCAGAAACCGGTCATCAGACCGTCTACAGAACCAGCAAAACATTTTTCATTATGGAAAATAAGACTGGTCTGGATTATCTGCTGCACCGGACGGACCAACTGGCCGGGCTCAGTGGCGAAACGGCTGAAGACCTGCAAGTGACGTACTACGATGCCGGTGGTTTCTACACCTCCCATTATGATGCGTTTCCGGTAATTCTTTTTAATAGTTTATTGTCCACTAATTACAATCATCCACGAGGAAAAAAACCGCGTCCATGGTTGTATCTAAGTCGGAGCCGATTTAATTTTGAAAATTTTGATGAAATCGCATACAGTAAATACATCTCGACGGTGAAACTTCCAAACCACGTATCTCGCTTTGTGGCGTTGCAGACTTCTCGCCATACTTTAATTTTAAATGGAAAACCACGCAATGTCGATTCTAAAAACATTTCCGTGATTTTTCTTCTCTCTGGGAAGCAAATTCTGAGAAAATTTCAAAGAATGATGTTGCTTTGTTCTCCTTCCAAAAAAATAAAATACCAGGGCAGATTTTTAAACACCGCAAACGAGATACGTGGTTTGACATTTTCACCATCAATCTGTCACCATCGTGTATGAAGGGTAATTGGACAACATTTTGCAATTTGGAAAGCTCTTACATTGCATTTTGCTCTAGCTCATCAACAAAAACGCCTATGTGCATTAAGAAAACTAATGATGATACGTACCTACGTTATTTCTAAACCGAGCAAGAAATTGATCTTATGAATTGAAAAAGGTTGTCCAATGATTACTGTATAATGAGGAATGAACACCTTCATTAGACTGCTGAGTAAGCCTTGTACATACACATTCGGTCATCATCTACATTATATCTATATTATACAGCTACAAGCAAAATCTTGCATGAAACGATGCATTTTTCTATTTTCTGCAATTTGCATTCATGTTTCAGTTTGATTTTGAGCTTCCAAACGGTAACCGAATTGCAACAGTCTTGTTTTACGTGAGTACACTATGACTACCAATTTAAACTAGTATTACGCAATTCACAAATTATAAATTATTGTGAAAAAGCAATTTCGTTATTTTCGACCACTTTCTCTAATTTAGCATTGAAGAAAAGTCCTCATCTGTAATGACTTTGTTAATCTTATGATATTCGACGAGTCTAGTGCATGAAATTTCAATTAACATTTTTACGGCGGTTGATGTATTTATTATTTGAAATGATGCTAACCTCAAAGTATTGCATGTTCTCGCAGGCTGAAAGAGGCTCCCAAAATGTTACCTCTTTTCCGCCCGGATCGTGGATTCCTGTAGCTCCGCTTAAATTAAAATCCGAAATGAGAAAAGCTTTTCTAAAAGTTCACTGAAAAAAAAGTGGAAGTGGGATTGACCATAATGGTATAGTAAAAAAAAATATGGTGATAAAAAGCCAAATAATGGTCGATTTAAGCATCTAGATGAAAGTGAGAATCATACTCGATATAAAAATTACCATACCCGGATTGTAAATATCAGTTAGGTGTGTCTGTCCATCGTTTAGGTATTTCTCACCATCAGCTGGGTATTTTTTACCATACGATGAGTTAAAAGTATGGAATAACATGGTAACACTTGCGTTTGATATCTGTAGGCATCTGTATGCGACTGGTCATGGTGTTGGTAGGTTAAATTTACCATACTGGTATAGTCAGCGTGGTGAGAGCTCCCGCTTGACTGCGCTGCGGTCTGTGGTCCGCCATTTTTCGTTTGTCTGTTTGTCAGTTATAAATTTATCACGTTGAGGGTCGGAGTCCGTGGCTGTGTTTAATTGATCCATATTAATCCATGTGAATCCACGCGTAATTTGCCCAAATGTGTGTTCGAATTGTCCCTAAAGCTACCGTCTTCTCTTCGAATCTATTTATATTGATCTGCCACATACATTTTCTGAGATTTTTTCGTTATTCGTATCGACCAATTTCTGGAGGTTAGGAGTTGCTACAATGAATCTGGCTTGCAAAGTGAAGGAATCCTGAAAATTTGAAAACCTTCGCAAAGTTGTTCTGCAATCCAGTGAATATCGGTTCTGTGTAAAGTCATTTCGAAAACATAAAAGTGCGGAAGTAATTTGAAAATATCGACTAGAAGTGATTTTTGAATACTTCGTTTGTAGGTATATCTATATTCTTGTTAAAATTTTCGAAGCTCAACATACTCAGATGAAGAGACAAATGTGCGTGGGATTGATATTTAACTGTAACTTTAAGCAAAATTTGGCAGCTTCTGCCCCACCGTGAACCGTGCGATTGGATTTTCATGTAGTGTCTTTTTGTGGGTATATTTTGAACTATCTATTTATTATATGCAATTAAATTTTCCGTGGATCTGATTTAGTCTGTAAATGATACCTTAACGCGAATAACAAGTATGGTTTTGGTATCATTTACTTGAAATCAGTGAAGCAATTATCTGCTTTTTCTCGTTGAAACTGTCTTTAACTGCCATTGATTGTGTATGTAACGGAATTTCTAAAAGTAAGATGTAAGTAAAATATCCACGACTTTCATCAAAAGCATTTAATAATATAAGATGAGTGGATTTTAGAATCTACAAGGTTTGTCGCAGCATCTGGATGCTTGAAATTACCATACTAGTCAGTCGGGAACGCCACACTGGCACTGTGTCGCATAGTGTCAGCCGTATCGTGTTATTTACCATACCGGTATATTGGTAACTATGCTGCAGCTTCACTGTGTAAAAAATCAAGTAGACAGTATGGTAAATAACACCCAAACTCTGGTAAATCCCACAGATTATTTTTTTCAGTGTTCCACTATGAGATTACGGACCGTTTTGGAGACACGATAGAACAAACTTATCAGGATAGCTAATTGAGAGCTTACTTAAAATGAGAAAACACGACACCTGGGTAAAAATGTCAAGTAAATGCATCTGCATCTCTAAGATGGTTTGTATGCTTGTGTAAAGATTTTTTACCTGCACTCAAAAAAAAAACTACAGCCGTGGGACCCGGTTGCTCTGGACACTGGTGATCCCGGTGTTAACGCGCCGTTAGCCAGCTAGTACCGGACCCGATGGCCGATGGCCCCTGGAGCCCGAGCGGCTTCTGAGACCGTAAGACCGGATAGGAGCCGAGCGTAAGTTACGGGTTTCAGGATCGGAACCAACCGCTTCCACGGCCGTTGGCAGTGAGGTGAGATTCAGTTTTCGGAAAATGGCGTCACCATCAGATTAAAATTGAGACGGCTCCGTGTAAATTCGCAGAAAATTATAATATTTTACGTCAATGTTATTCAGTGCGTGAATTTAAAGTTGCCGCCAGCCTTGACAATATTCGGGAGCGATCGAGCCACCACTCAGCGTTGTTTATTGAGGTTAGAATCCAGTCACTAAATTGCTTGGTCATTGATGGTCATTGCTCATTACGTGTGTTCGTTTTTCGTTTAATTTTGGAGGTTTCCGATATATTTTCTTGATTCTGTGTGGTGCACGATTGATTCTAAAGTTCTGTGTGATAAAGCTTGTCAAATACTTTCGGAAATGCGACGAGAGTTAAGTGAAAATTGTCAGTTTTGGTAGTACCTACGCACTGAGCTCATATCCTCTCCCCCTGTAAGTTCGTTTGCAATTCACTTATTTTCCCCATAAGGGAAAGAACTTAAATTAAAGAAAAGCAATCAATTACCTGCCACATATCTTCCCACAGAGTAAATTAGCGCCACACTAAAATACTGATAATGTAGGCACGAGAATGTCCATTTATTGCTGACTGTAACATTCTATCATCACTTTTGCTTTGTTCTGCCTGTGTAAGAGGATACAGTTTTTATTCAATTTCGATCTAATCTCTAACTCATAGATGTTTTCAACTGTAAGTAGTATTGCAGTCTCTGACATCTTCCCTCTCTGTTACAAAAAAAGCTGTTTGATAGCGGAAACTGTACGGATCCCATCCTGCGCAGATTATCTGATAGTGAGAGCAAGCTCGAACGTTGTTGCTGTGAATAATCTCTCTGATTCCATATCCTAATTCTAGGGAGCTCAGTGTTACTGTAATAGTGGTAAAATTTTGTGTGAATCGCGCTTCAGTTTGCTGAAGGGAAGATCTATAATTTTAACAAGTGTGACAATTTTCGGTGGTATATTTCTTCGCTAATATTTTGTAGAAATTGTATCCGGTAGTTATTGCGGAGAGTTATATCTTGAAGTTTTGTCAACTTTTACTACTGAATTTACACTTTGAAATATTCTCAACCTCATTTTCAAGATTCTGAAGCTCTTCTAGTCGTAAGGAGTAAAAATCTGTAAGTACCTAGACCTACGCCTGTGGTTTTACTTTGTTAATCATTTAGGTGATTTCCTACTTTGCATTCGTATTTTTTATTGAGGGATGAACCAGGTTTTGTTTTTGACAAATGCTGAATTCTCATTGAGTGAAAGTAATTACATTTATTGAGAACGGGCTGCCAAGTGATAAAAATGATTTTTCAATTTACATTTTTCGCTGCAATGAGTTTTATAGCAATTTATCATACCTTGGGCAGTCTGTTCTACATTTAAAATAGGCAGCAAGAATTTTTGATCTATCTACATTTGTTCCTTCTAGTGCTTCCCCAGTGCTTTATTTATTTCTAGGAAGGCTTGCAACATTAAAGTTAGGTTTTTGAAAATTTCTCTTGATATCTCTACACGATGAATAAGCTAACATTCATATGCTGATTTTCTTTCTCAATACGCATCATCTCTTCTCTAATTTTCATCTCTTTTCTCAAATTGACTTGCTGAACTATCTGCACGGAAAAAAAAGACCTGTCATTTTAACAGTCGCATTGAATGTTAAATTTGTTTGACGTTTCTCTGTTCTTTTAGTTGTCGTGACTGATAGTTTAACATTTTAAGTATGTTGAAACAAAAGTGTGCAACTCTGTTAGCTCAACATCTTATTGATGCTTTTGAAATAACATTCTGTATGTTATTCCATCATCACACGACTGCTGAGTTAACGTCAGGCGCAGTCATTAAATCAACAGTTCCTGAAGCTTTTGGAATGACTGTCATTGACTTTTGATTTTACAGTCCACACGTTATTTTGACATTCGTTTGGATTTTAAATTTACACTCGTGCAGGTGTTGGTCTAATGTTTTGAAGGTCGTTAAATTTGCAGAAATAATCTGCTAAAGCAACAGCGAGGGTGTCGAAATAGCAGCCTCTCATTTAACAGCGAGTTGACAGTAAAATGCTGTCCGTTGCACGGAGCATTCCATCCCGGCCAGTCCCGCGCGATCGGCGCAGCGCGCATGCGCAGTTGTATACAGTTGTCGATCGCCCCGCTGCGAGCGGTGACGCAGAAAACCTCTCCTACCCTACCCGCCACACTGCCCACCCTCCTTCTCGAGGGTTGCGCGCCGTCCTGACAAAGGGCCCGGTCAGGAAAATTCTCAGAACTCCAACCGCCCGGGCCTGGCGTTCGGTTGTTTCTCCCTTCGGCGTTGTTCCCGCATTCCAGTCTGTTCGCTGAGGCCGCCATGTCATTGTTTAAAGGGATTTCGTTTGCTCAACAGTCAGTGGTTTTGAGTCAGAGAAGTCTTGCGCTTGCGTTTCGAAATCGTGCTCAAATTGTGTTTGCGAGTGAATTTTGGCGAAGAAAGTGATTAGTTTTGATACTCAGTGCGCGATCTGCAAAATTAGTAGCTCCATAGGAAAGTAACTCTTACGATATAAGCAAATTTGGGCACACTGTAATCAGTTGCGGGCAGACGCCATTTTTTGAGGCATCATCATGAATCCGTTCAATTCGAAATTTCTGCTGCCGTATATTTGTGCTTTTTGGTTTCAACTTCACCATTGACATTACACGCACTCTCAACTCAATTAGGTTTGCGTCCAGTGCATCAAATTATTATTTTTAGCGTGCCTTACATATTTATATGCAGGCATTCTTTTGATTTCGTTTCCTGTAGATTATACCATTAGCCCTGTCCTCTATACTTTCCGACCCAATTCCATTGTGTGATTTTTTCCTTTTCTTTCGTTCAAAGAAATTTAGGCTGTTTTGAAATGAAATGAAGTGATAATTTAGCAAATCTTAATCTTGGTAGAATTTTTTGAAACCTTTTATAATACATTTTCGGTGTTTTTAACTCATAAGCACGATCTGCTGTTTGGTTCTTACGTTGTTTTTTATTGATGATGCCAACGTGACATTGTCTTAATGGCGTAAAGTGTTTCAATGTGTAATACAGTGTCTGTGCGGTATCTGACCAGGCTGCGAGTGAAAAGTTCGGTTATTTGAAAAAAAGAAAATAACGGATGGAGAGGAAGGGTTTAAAATGTGCCTCACATAATTTGTTGACGACCCCAAGGCCATGATCAATTCTGCCCCACCGAGAACTGCAAAGATGTATACTTTGCGTAGTGTTTCTGTGCATTTAAACTGTTAAAATTTTTGTGAAATTAACTCATTGTGAAACTGATTTAGTCTGTAAATGTTACTTTGACCGGAATATTATCTACGGTTTTTGTATCATTTACTTGAAACCAGTTAAGCAGTTATCAGCTATTTACATAAGCATGTAAGTATGACCATAATTTTTTACAGTTGCGTGGCATTGTATCTGCTCCATTAACAGCAGTGTGAATGAAAATTCAAGAGCGATTTAGCTTTTACATGAGCAGCAGCGCTGCTACATCGACAGCAGCGTGGATTTAAATTCAAAAACGAACTGGCTGTCATGAGAACAGCGACGCTGCTATTTCGACAGCAGCGGCCGCTGTTAAATCGAAGGCAGCGTGAACGTCAATCTGATGGGGAACCGGCGTTTACGCCAGCAGCTGCGCTGCCAGTGTAACAGACTATTCGATGAAGGTTGAGCAGATTTTGCTGTCGTTGTTACATTCATTTACTGTCATTGTGACAGCAAAGCGCCTGTTGTAATAACAGACAAAGGTAATGTTATTTTAACAACCAGGATGCTGTGCCGTTTTTTAACAGCCAAGGGCTGTTCCTTCAGCAGTCGCGACGATTAAAATGGCAGGACTTTTTTTTCCGTGTGCCAAGGAGTTCAAATCTCTCTTGATATCTGAAACATGATCAACAAGCTAACGTTCATATGCTCTTTTTCTTTCTCAGTCAGTGAATTATTCATCACTTTCCTGAAACTAAATTGTTATGAACTATCAACAAAGAAATATGTACCTATTTTAAAAAGAAAGGAAGAAAAAGAAATCTTGTTCAGAAATTGACACAAGATAATTCATTCAAGGTTTAAAATTTTGCTGGAAAGTTTTTCTTTTCTATGTACTTTAAAGGTGAATTTTCAGCTGTAGTTCCGAAAAAATCCACCACGTCGCGGACAGCGGCGGCGCGCAGAGCTCCGGCCGTCCAGCCCGTAAGTAGCGCCGAGAGTGCAAGCTGCCTATGCCGCTCGAGGCCGCGACTTACGGTTTTCATATCCGTAGGACTCCGCGTCGTCCCCGCTCGTAGCACTCCGGTCGTCAGGCGCGTAGGCGAACGGTAGTGCCATATAGCCCATCTAGTCCGTGCTCCAGGTCCGTTGCTTCTGGCCTCCACGGCCGGAGCTTTTTTTGAGTGTGTGTCTGTTCCCATCATGAATTTTAATTAAATCTATCAGTTCAAAAATGATAGAATGATTGAAAATGTTCATGTTTTTGTGTAGTAATACGCATTCTCGGGCTGTGACGCGATTTTTATCGTGTCCTGAATAATATCATTTTTTCGAGATGGGTCGTTCCCAAACTGAGATATCACCGAAAAAAAATTGAAGTTAATTTAACATTCTGGATGTAAAAAAAGTGTGCGAGAACTTACAAAATGCTATAATACCTGCCACAGCAGTTACTTCAGCAATGCCAAGATGTAAAATTAAGTGCTGTGGCGGGTAATTCAGCATTTATAAGTTCTCGCACACTTTTTTTACATTCAGAATGTTAATTTAACTTCCCTTTTTTTTCGGTGATTCAATCTCAGCCAAGAGACCTCCGTAACGTTCCAAAGAGGCGGAAACTCCTACTTTTGGAGGCTCTTCAATTCGTTTTCATCAATTTTGCTTTCCAGCTAAATAGCAATCCAGTTGGTGGAGAAACGGCATTTTACGTGCTCAATGTACTTGTTGAACCGGAGAAAGGCAGCGCCTTAGTTTGGGATAATCTGTGGAGGAACGGAAGGATACATATGTGGTCGGGACACGGTGCTTGCCCTGTGCTTCATGGCCACAAATGGAGTAAGATTTCCTTCTTACTTTAATAAATAACTGACAAAAAACCAAAAGACACTCCTGCCTGTAGAGACATATTTTAGAAATATTGAAACACGGGAAATGTCCAAAAACATCGAACGAAACCGAACTTGACAGTTTGAAATTTCAGTACGAAAATCTAGTTGTGAGGCAAATCTGGTAAAATCGTTCATATTCGGGGTCTTTTGATCCAGAACGGTTTTACTTGGAGGGGAAAAACAAGATCCCAGATTTTCATGGAGTTAAGATTATTACCCTAGTAGCAGTGGCTGTTGGGAAAAATTGTAAAAAACTCGTAAATTTTAAGAGAACTTAAAATTTACACCAAAACCACTTGATAATTACAGAAAAAAACTCTTGAAATATTCGTAACAGGAATCTCTTTGTGGGGCTTTTATTTTACATGAAATTAAAGAAAATTTTTAAGTAAATTTAAAGTAAAATTTACTTTTTTTTTAAACTTTCCTGCGGGCAAAAACGAGGAGAAAAAAGTGGTGAACAAAAAAAAATAAAACGGAAAGTTGCAGCCCATAAAAATTGAGGATATAGTCAGTTTATTTCTACGTAAATTTTACATTTTCTTTGAATTAAAATAACACTATTTTTTATTTAAAAGAATTCCGCAAATGGGTTATCTAAAACGAGTATTTTAAGAGTTTTTTTTACTTAAAATTTATAAGTTTTATACATGTTTTTGACAACTTTTTGTAGAATTTTTTTTAAGAGCCATTGCTACTAGGGTACGTTTCCTAGAATTGTAAAATTACTTAGAAAATATTGAATAAGATCGGATTCTCTTCTTTTCCAACACGTTTCTAAGTAAAATCTTATTACATCCCAGATCATATAGACCAGTTGATGTCTCATATTAAATAGTGGCATTTCCCTTTTAAATCAATCGAATGCTTTTACGTTAGAATGGGACGGTGAAAAGTCGGCGAAAATGTATTAATTGTCATTATAACGAGTGTTGTGCAAGGTTTGCTAAAGAATATTTATCATTTACACTAAGTACACCGTAAATACATTGCTTTCAGTTGCTACTCGATGGTACCATTTAAGAGGACAGATGCTCAAACGGCCATGCACATTGAACGAAGAAGAGTGACATCTCCGATGTGCGTTATTCAATAAGACAACAGCACAATCTTGAGGCTTGAAACAGCACGCAGAATATAGATTCAGAATCAACTCACGTTTATGCATGAGGTCGATCGATCCGCTAAAATCATTGATTACTCGTACATTGATAGTCGATGAAAATGTATCAGAATGAAGAACGAATATCATAAAATTCGATTGAAAAGAAGCTATGAAGTCTGGAAGAATGATTTCAGACATTAGCATGAGATATATTTCTACACATGGTGAATTTTGTTTTGTCATAACTGGCAACGCATGAACAGCGTTTACAGCACGCCCTCCCCTTTGAGTATATATGAATTTATAAAAACCTTGACCAGCCATAAACCAATTCCTTCTTCAAAAAGTTTGTCATGATCGAAAATGATTTCAGCGTTTCTACATTAATTTTTAAACAGCTTGTTTTTAAGTACAAAAATTAAGTTTATTAACCCATGTGATTCTATTTGTTAATTTTTCGCGGGAAAAATGGATCTGATAGAAAGACGATTTTGTGCTTAGAATATATCCAGTTCGACGATTTTTTTTTCAGATTTATTCTGACTTGAGACACACTTTAAAGCGTAAAGAGGGAACCAAGGTAACCAAGAAACATGCAGTTCTTTTTTGATTTTCTGAAGACATGGAAAAAGTGGATTGGTCTCATATAGAATTCCGCCAATATACCTACAACTCCCACAAGTAGCCCTTCACTCCCCGAAGAGCTCAGTTCGATTTCTTTAGCCGTATGTCTCGAAAGAGCTTGTTCAATTGGATCGCATTTCGCAAAAAGGAACCAGCGCGATCACAGTACTGATAAAATGTTGCTTTTTCATAAGTTTCAAAAGAAATCTCCCAGAATAGCAAGTAGTTTTTTCTTCTCACCAAAGACCTGTTAATTTTAAATGAGGACAACTGTATAAGTATTAAAAGTCTACATACATTAGGTATTTTTATAGGCATAGAAGAAGTTGCATGATTTTAAAAACACTGTAATCCCACTGGTTCCTTTTTGCTGAATGCGATCCAATTCAGAGTTGTCATTTTAAAATCTCAGCAAGACAAACATCTTGACATCTTGTACATAATTTCAATATTGTAATTTATACGTGGTGAAGTATTTTTTTGGTTTCTTTAGTTCACAAAACCTGATTATGGTAAAATAAACAAGTTTTTAACTTTTGCTTTTGTCTACATTTTTGCCTTGAATAAAAATTGTTGCCTTGAACGACGACCGTTGCTCTTCAAACAGAAATCACTGACTGCAAACGACTATTGGTTATTCCAAAGACATATGGGGAGAAATCTGCTGCGTCGAGCACCACTAAGTTTTTGTTCCACAACAGATTTACAATTTTTTTACTGTACTAATCGCAAAACTCACAGGGACAGAAATATAACTTTCCACCTAACCACTGCCTTCTGGCTGTGAAGTGAGGAGAAAAAAAAGACGTTGATAAATAAAGGATACAGGAACCGTTTACACAGCTTGTCAAATGTACCGCTACAAAAATTGTACTTTTACTTTGTTTATACTATCAATTTTGAAAGTAAAGCTGAAATCTCAGCAAAAAACGATTCCGTTTAGTTTGGTTTTGCCTGGAATTCGGTCAGTGTTTGGAGCGTCAGGGCTGAGCTAAAAATATGAGTGGACTGTATATAGGTGTGCCTCACCTCTCTCTCTCCAAAAACTGAATCCCCTCGAACCTAAAACGTGGTGGCGCTCAGCCGATCATCTTCCCAAAACCCTTTCTGTTTGGGAAGATGACAGCTATGCGGCGGTGAGGCGGTGATGGGCTCTCAAGGCTGAGGTCTCCACATGCGGTGACAAAGGAGGCGGTAGTGACAAAAGAAAACTGTGGCTTACCGTGATGACGGCTAAAAGGAAGAAAGTGAAAACAAGCAAAGAAAGCAGGGAAAGCAAGAAATCCAGAGAAATCCTTGTGAACAGCAGCGGAACAGCTAAAACTCCAAATCCGGATACGACGTGCAAGCATCAAGCACTAGTGACCTACAGAGAGACCGGTACGGTCAGCTGATCGCGAGCGTGGTGCGCGGAGCGCCCTCAGGCGGCGGTCGGGCGAAGTTCGCTAGGAACAAACGCCGCGGAGAGAGACAATACGTCGCGGTGCAACGCGTGTTGTCCGTGTGCGTATTGCGGGGGAAACTTCCGAGTTTCCAAATACCTGGTGGATCCGCTGTGGCGGGAACAGTGTTTATCACCATGAAAAGCATCCCATGGCCGTACGTACAGTATTTTCTAATTGGATATTGGATGCTTTGTAATTTTTAATTTATTCTGGGTGAACCCCCTGGGACTCCCCCCCCCCCCCTACCACTCCTTGTTCGTAGTGTTTTGATTCGCCTGTTTGTAGGATACTGCGATGTAACTCAACTATCAGACCGTAAAAAGGTGCTTGAAAATCGCCTTATTTTTCTTGTGATACCACAAATCTATCATCAACGAACTATGAGGATTCATTTACTCAACTCTTTGTCAGAACTTTCAGCTTACAGCCGAGAGAATGAGCATATGCTTGTTTGTTATGTGCTCGATTTGAAATGTAGTTCACGTTTTTCGGTTGGTGAGAGGTCTCAGTCGATGATTTTAGAAACGGCTTGGTTATATTTAAATTTGAAAGATGGCGGAGAGGAGCCTAAGATATTTAGAAAGGATTAATATACGATACCTTTATTTAGTGCCTCTGAAGTCAAAGCACGGAGAACGATAGTTGTTCTTCTATAATTTTTTTTTTTAACGGCACTGTATAGTTTTCTCAAAATTGATAAATGAGATTTTAGTGAGCGAGTTTTTTCATATCAACGGAGCTCATCTCCTTCGGAGAACTTAAATACACGCCTACATTTGTATGGACAACGCTGACCGCTTCTCCAACACAAAGGTATTAGAGCTTGCTCGCTTGTTCTATGTTCCTACTGCATCGTGGTGGTTCAGAAGGAAATGTCCGGTCTCAGATTCTGGCCCCCGATAGATATTCTGGAGTAAAAGTGGACGAAACCCTAGTAGCATGATTCACTTTCCCCTTCCTAACAAACGTATAAGGAATTAATACCGGTTATATAAGCACCATTTTAACTAAAGTTTATATATAGTGTATATAAGTTTTATATAAAATGCCCATGAAAATAATTATTCATATTTTCAGAAGATAACGTTTATATAAAATTTATATAATTGAGGAAGGGTTTTTATAAATTTTCTTTATACGCATAGTATCCTTTTGCTTAATTTGCTTAATATAACTGTTATATAAATGACCTGAATGACTTTAACGTAAACCCATCTCATTTTCATGAATGATGATGATGATCTCATTTCAATGAACACCCTCGACTCTCAGACTGCGTGGGATAGGTATTATTAGAGGTATTAGTGGCTCCGAGACGAGTTAAAAGGGGATATTTCGGCACACAATCCGAGGAGCCCTGTTACCTCAGTTGGTAGCGTGTCTGGCTCATAACCCTGCCCAGTTAGACAGCAATATCTAAAAATATTTTAAAAATATTGAGATTTAATATATTTTTAAAATGTTTTTCATGCATTTTTTCAAAATATTTTCAAACGTACTTTTGAAATACAATCAATGAATATTTTTAAAACATTTTAAAAATATATTAAAAATATAAAAAATTAAAATTTTTAAAATAATATTTTATAATATTTTTAAAGTATATCATAATTATTTTTGTTAATATTTTAAAAATATTATTAAATATTATTTTCAAAATTTTAATTTTTTTTAAAATGTTTAAATTAATATTATAAAAATTAAAAGAAAAAAGGAAATGATAATAATAATAAATAAATAACATAAATACATCGACATAAATTCAAACTAGAAAAAGGCCCAAATAATTAAAACTGGAAAAAGACGCAATTATAAAGTTAAAAAAAAATAGAGAGAGAGAGTTAAAAAAATGAGAGTTAAAAAAAGTAGAGAGAGTTAGAAAAAATGATAGTTAAAAAACATGATAGTTAAAAAAAAAGAGAGAGCTAAAAAAATGAGAGAGAGAGTTAAAAAAATGAAAATGAAAAAATTACATCATGAAATAAAAAACAATAAATAAATAAATAATAAATAATAAAGTCTGGTAAAATATCATAAGAATTCGTCAATGAACAAACATATTACGGACTCAGAGGCCTGCGATAGTTAAGAGATTGAATATAGGGGCCCATCCATATCAAGCCTGGCTGGTCTGGTGGTAAAGTACTGGACTTCGGATTGCAACTCCATCCCGAGGCGTGGCACTATGGTCCGAATAGCCGGTTTAAGCGGCAATAAATCGAAAAAGTGAAGTTTGGAAAAAGTTAGATTTTAAGAGGTAGATCGATAGTACATACTGTAGAGAAGACTCCTGTAAAATTTCACTTCGATTAAAGCACTAATAAAGATGTGACAAGCCTGGGAAGTGCGGCGCGCGGAGCACTTTATGAGTGCGATTCCAGTTACCGAGCGGCAGTGCTGTGTTTAAGGGCTTGTTTTCGTCGTTTCACCGTACCTGAAAGTGTTTGGGCACTTGATTCACAAAATAAAAGATAAGTTTAAAATGTTTCATGCTGAAACTATTCTTTTTTATCATATCTAATGCTCTAGATTAACCTTTAGACATAGTCAGTTTTATCAATAAAATCGCAGAAGTAGGACCCAAAAAATATACTTAGCACCTCTGAGCACCTCGTAATTTTACTCGGAAGTTATTGTCATGACTCTAGACTATCTTTTAGTCTAGTGGCAGAACCATAGTCCACCATAGCCTCAAGTTATTTCTCACGAAAAATGACGTTTTCGCGTTTCTTATCACTTACTACAATTAGCTATCATATGCCATTGACGATGACTTTTATCATGTTCCATTGTCATATTCTAGCAAATCGAATGCATTAGAGCCTAAATCTGCCCAGGCAGAATAATACGAGTTGATGGGGTTGATCGGGACCAATTGAAACTTTGTGCTCAAGAACAGCAAAGAATCGCCTCGAGAGGCTACTTTGAGGCCCCGTAAAAGTTTTTGTTTTGACGTTTTAAGTGTTTCAAACATATAATCTATCAGTGTAGATATATGTTAGCATAAGTTTAGCTTGGCAGACCAAAACAAGTCTAAACGGTTGATCGGTGGGACTTGAAAGTAAGGCTCCCGAGCAATGAAATTGTCCTAGGAAGCCACTTTGAGGTCCCGTAAACGTTTTTTTTTACGTTTACCCATGTTTCAAACAAATAATCTATCAAAATGGATATATTTAAGCTTAAGTTTCGCTTGGCAGACGAAAACAAGTTCAAACGGCTGGTCGGTGGGACTTGAAAGTAGGCCTCTGGAGCCATGAAACGTAGAAGTATTATCCTGAGCTGTCTTTTTCAAGTTCCCTTGATAGTAGTGTTTGACGAGGCTCTACTTTTAGCCTCTTATAGTCCATCCAATGTAAAATTAATTTTTAAACTTATAAAAAAAAAAAAAAAAAATTCTACCGAGAATCGAACCCGGGACATCAAGAAGATGAGTGAGACGCGATGCCAATTGCTCCACCGCTTCAACTCGGATTATCAACCTCAATTTAAGGTTTGTGAACAAATTATTACCACAGTTATATAAAGTATAAAAATGTTAAAAGTGGATTTTTCCTGAAGAACATTAGCATTTTTGCTCTCAGCGACCCTAGAAACCCCTTAAAACTCATGTTGCGAGGTTTAAACATACGTATCTGATTTAATGCCGCTTAAACCGGCTATTCGGACCATAGTGCGTGGGTTCTAATCCCGACTAGGACGCCGCGGATTTAAGGTAAGTCACAACTCTACGATGATCCACCACCTGGTAGTAACGCATCTGAAAACTTGCACACTTCATAACTAGAGTGCGCTACCAGCCAGGAAGAATAATGAAAATTCATTTTACACATTGTTTGAATTTGGTTATATAACTTTTATACTAAGGGTTACATAAAAAGCTTATTAATAATGTAAACTTTTAACCAAAAAACTTTACATCCATTACATAAACAATGAATATTCTTTAGCTTGTGGTTATTTACGGTTTATACTTTTAAAAACAAATTTTTTATATAACTCTGCTACTAGGGAAATTTGAAATAGGCGATATTCTTGTCCCTGGTCTTTTATTAGCATGTAAATATGTTCTACGCCTACTTTTTCGACATTAGGAT